GTGCAGCCCATGCATGTGGGAGGCTTACACGCTTGCAAACCCGGCTGAGGTCGCGGTTCGGAGCTGAAGGTGATGAGCGGATGCTTGCCATGCACAGAATTGGCTCGGGCGGATCATGTCCGATTTGTTGTACCTGATTCGGAGCTTGCTGAAGAAGTCGTTCTAAGGCATAGAGACGAAAAGTCCTGGATTCTTCACGCGAGGCCCGCCACAATTGGGAACTACAGCAAACAAAACTTCACCTGGGCCTTCTCAGGCATCCGAGAAAAACTCTCGGAAAGAAGAGGCTTTGATACAGATCGCATGCTGTTTCGCGACGATGAGTTGAGCAGCTCGCACTCATCAGAACTATTTCGTGCATGGCGGCTAGGTTGTGACAGTCTTGGCATGCCAGAATTAGTTCGATGCTCAGTTGCCGAGGTTACGCCCTGGGTGGCTTGCCTGAGACCTTCATGGTGTGGTTTTTACGAGAGAAAGTGCAGAACATAGAGCTTTTTTCTCGTGCAGGGAAGGATGGTGCCACGAGAAAGAAGTTGGAGCTCGCCTCCGGAGCGATACTGCAATATGTGGGGCATGTTGCACCTCGTCGAACCAGAATGGTTCAGTCTGCGTTCACTGACGAGGGGGTTGCTTCTTGTGCTGATTTCGCTGCAGGCTTTCATTGCTGGCACCCTGAAAGAGCGCCGGAGATGCCGCGAGTTCGTCACTCGCTGCTGAAGCATTCTGCGGCATGTTAGAGGGTTGTTCGTGTCTTCGGTATACGCGAAACTGGCAAAGTGAGGCTTAAAGGGTTAACGAAAGTTAAACTGAAGAAGGCGCGACACGAAAAGCATTGTTTTGCGACTTTTGTGTGACAATTGATCACATCTCCTGCAGATGCCGGCTCTGAAGTCGTCCACAGCCCGTGCTGTGGAGCCTTGAACCCGAAAACCTACTGAGGCCCCAGCGTCTGAAACCTCACAAGATCCGTAAACTTTAAACACCCTGCCTGTTTTAAGCCCTAGACCCTAAAAGCATTGTGAGCCTTGACCCCTTTCCGAAAATGCTCTTTCATCTTGAACCGTATGGGCGGTAAACTTTAAGCCTCAAAATGCCTTACGAGCCCTGGCTTAAATTTTCCAGCGCAGACTTGTGAGCCGCAGTTCCGCTAAAGCTGTGCGCCAGCAAAGATTCAGGCGCACGTAGAAGGTAGTACATGCTCGTAGGCAACGGAAGCTGCCAAGCATCCGCATCTCATGCTTTACGCATCGCGCAGCTTCGCTCCGCAACTCCAGTCCTCCATGACCTGGTCGTACAGACCTCTCGTCAAGCCACATGCCTAGGTCGTCACGAAGAATGCCCGAAGCTTTCCTTCTCATATCCGTCGAGGACACGATACAAAGAGTGCGAGCACACATGTTATGTATATATATATATATATATACATATTATACACATATGTGTTTGTACATATGCGCGTGTGTGTGTGTGTGTGTATGTATACATGCCTAGTACCTACAAATCCGTACGTAAGCTCCGCCAAAGTTCCGCTAGGCGCGAAAGGGAAACACGTCGCACGAAATTTCGCATTATCTGGCCATTTCCCGTTAAGGGAATCCAGAACAACCGCGGTCTCATGTGAGCCAAGTGCTAGCCATTTCGCAGTGTGCTAAGTGGTCTGCAGAGAAGTTCCATGCATCGGGCGGCGTTGAAAAGCCATTGTGGAGCTGGCACCACGTTCCCGCCTGCAAAGGTGAACTGGCTTCTCCAACAGCGACGCGGGTCTGTGACCATCACGGACCGCAATCTTGATGGAATTTCAGTCGTTGCATGAACTTCGCAAGATGGAGGGCTGCCACTGGTCAATACTTGTCGGAAGCCATCCGGCTTGATTGGCAAGGACCTGTCTCGGCGCGATGACGTGACCGAGGCAAACTTTATGGCTTGATGCAAAGCTTGTCCAACCGAGTCCTCTGGTGCAGCCATGTGGAAAAGGTGAAAATCCCCGACAGTTGCAAAGGCTGGGTCACAGGCAGCCCGGTTTGCAAGCTTGGACAGCATTCAAGTACTGCCGACGGATGTCCACCGCATGTGCCAGACTGCATTGCTTCGCCTTGATCAGCTGCTGTGTGTGCTGAGTGCAAGTTCTCTTGTTGCGAGTTTTGTGATGGCCCACACATCGCAGGGGCGCTTCCTTGAAAGCTGGTGTCCGACTGTCCATCTCCTGAAGGCAACCGCGGAAGTGAACTGCGGCGCATGGAGCAGGAGACGACATGAAGCCATCAAGTCCACATGAGACGGTTGCCATGGCTGCTTATTCCTGCTTCGAACAAGAGCTCCAAGCATCAACACATTGATTCAGAATTTTGCTTTTGCAAACACCCCTGGAGCTCATGAAGAATGTTTGTTCTGGCCCACATTGTCCCTGAGACCTGTACTGCACCTCTCGCCTTGATGCGTTTCACAGGAGACCGGCACTTTCATGTTCATGGCCTTGGACTCGCGAGGTGATGAAAGGCTCCTTTTCGGCTGCAATTGGACCTTGCAGCTTCTGCCCGATCTCGTGCGGCTTGAAACGGGCTTGGTTGAAGTTTCGAAGGAGTGCTTCAGCCATCGGCAAGTGAAGCAGAACTCAAACGAACAATGACAAGGGCTATGACGAATGTAAGAGCGACAATGACATCCTGACAATGCAACATAGTCTGAGTCAGAATGTTGCTGGGCTGTTTCTTTTTGGGCAGCCGCATGTCAGCCAACGGCTTCATTCGAACATCCGAAGCGGAGTCAGCGAGTAACAGGAAGCGCATGTAGCTGCTGACAAGGTTGCTCATCTTCAGCACCTATGCAGGGACCAAGGCCGGTATTGGTGGCCGTCGGCACGCCGAGCGCTTCTTGGTGACAACATTCTGTACCTCGCAAGGGGCCGCTATGAAGCAGTCCACTCAAAAAAGAATAGCGTCTGGTTTATTACTCCCAGTCTTGTGCTACAAGAGATGTGAATGCGGAGCCCCCCACAGGCGTAGACCAAGAGCGCATGTAGCGCACGTTACGGGAAGAGCAAGAGCTGAAGGGGTTGTCTGTGTGACGGTGCATGACATGCTGAGCACGTGAAGTGTACTCTTCTGGGGGGGGAGGGTGCTGCTTGCTCTCTCCATGTCCAACAGAAGAAGGGGCTAGGTAGGTATGTTGCCTTTGAAGATAGACTCTTTCAAGAAAGAATGCAGGTGGGAACAGCTCTCGAGTATTAGGCAGACAGCAGGCGGAGCATGTGCAGCGTGTCGAAAACAGAGCCATTCCTGATCTAGGGTAGGGCTCCAAGATGTTTGAATGCACGATCCTCCAAGCACCCGAACGAGAAGAAGAGAAGAAAGAGCGAGCCGAATGTGAAGAGACCGCGAGGAGGCATGGCAAGGAGATGCTCCATCCCTTAGCATCTGCACGTCATACACAGTAGTTTTAAATCAGGCTGAGATGTGGAACACGAGTGTCCGCATGTGCACAGCCCTCTTTCATTCATATACGACGAGGCCAAAACGCAAATAAGAGCCGAGCGAGTCTAAAGCAGAACGATGTTGACGGCTGGCTGTAGGTCTTAGGTCTTGATATCAGGACTCGTCAATGAGATGATAGACGAGAAGCTACGCCGATGCCTGAGTCCTATGTGTTGAGGCATCGCTGGATGTTCGGGGATGGATGCCGTCAGCCCCCGCTTTGAGCTCCAAGGCAATGACATGGATCGACGAGGTCGCGGCGACGCTCGGGGTCGCTCACGCTCCGCCTCTCGTCTGAACTTCAAGGCCGCACGCGACGAGAAACGGCAACTACTTTGATACAATGAAAAGTGTTGAATTTTAATGGAAGAGAAGGAAGCATGGATTTGCTTCTTACTATTGAATTGAGTCCTTTTGCTCTTCTGCACCCTTGTCTTTCTACCTTTTCCTTCCTTGATTTCATCATTAAATTAAACTCATGCGCTGCACTTGTAATTGAGACGAAAAGGAAAAGAAGGCAAACGAACAGCACCCAGAGTACACTTGCAATGGAAGTGGAAAATCTGGAGCCGTGGTTTCGTTTCCCTGTTCATTGCAACGATGAAGTGATAAAATATCGAAAGCGTGATCAATTTACTGATATAGACGAATGAAAAACAAACCACGAAGACACACAAGAAAATAACCAAGAAACATCGTAATATGAAGAGAACACCGTGCATGCATTCGTTCCTCATTTGTCACGTTGTGTTCAGGTCATGGAAACAAGAAGCACGAACTAGAGCTGGAATCTGATGGGTGGTTCATGCGGTAAAACCAAGCGGGTCTTTTGTTTCTTGTCTTTGTAATAACTAAAGCATGCGCTTCATTCTTGCGGGCAGCTTCAGCAGAGCGTTCTAGCCATGCAGTCATGCAGCTAGAAGAGTTTGAGGGTTTTCTTTTCCGTGTTTCCTGCTGGAGGACAGTCGGAGGCCCAGTCCGCGGAGACGGCGCTCCAGCCGCTCGCGCTCCTGGTGCGGGGCCTCGGATGCTCTCGCACCTCGTACTGCCTGCTTTCACCTGCTGTCCTTTCGTTCTGTGGAGCTTCAAAGGTCTCCAGCTCAGAGACAGCGTGGGATGCGCAGCTGGGACTAGGTGGGCACATGCTGTCCGGGCACCGACGTGGCCAAATCCTGGCCATGGCGCGGGCAGTCAATGTTGTACTCATCGATACACGGACCCCTCGGCCGAGACCGTGTGCGGCACTCGACAGAGCGAGTGACAAGCTAGCCGGCAGAAATTGAGCGGTGAAAAAGGTCCTCTCACGCACGCATTGGGTGCATTTGGGCCATCTTCCAGTGCATTCCGGGTGAACTGTAGATTGGTACGCACACAAGAGCTTCGGAATTATCAGTAGCATCTGCACGGCCCATGTAGCAGCACAGCAGCGGTTTCACTGGCAGTCTCCTGTTGTGGCTCTCCGAAACGAGCCCGGTGTTGCTAGGTTGCCGGAGATTGCCAGACACATTTCAAGACATTTGAAGCTTTGAGGCCTATCCACCGGACCACCCACTGCCGCGCTTCTCCTCTTCCAATCAAGGCAGCTGCAGTGAGGAACTTGCAGGACTATATACTTACTTGAGTTGCAGTGCCCGACATCCACAAGGAACCTACGCAGCCAAACATGGCTATTCGTGCGCCTGGGAGGTCTTCCAGGAAGCTGATTTCATTTTCTGGCCACACTTGCGAACCCCTGCCGCCTCAAGCCCGAGCTTCTGAGAGCTACACGGCGCAGAGTCGGCCTACACTTCTCGTGCATCAATCATGCCGCAGCGACACCTCACGCATCAAAGTAACTCCATGTTGCGAGCTCCAGCTTGCAGAAGACTCGCTTCTGAGCCCTATTGGTAGAATGACATAACTTCCTCCAGTCTTCCGAAACATGTCCAGAGTTGGCCAAGTCATGTCCGGATTCGCAAGATGCAAGCTTTCCACTGCCAAGTTCTGTGGGCGAAGCTTGTGGCGTTCCTTTTTCGCATAAAGCATGGTTCTAGATTCAGCGGCTTGATTAATCGAGAGACTTGTTTGCTGGATTATGCCATGTTGCGACATGTTGCGATGCTGGCAGTCTCGAGGGTTGGGTCGACGCAGCTATGCACTACACCTTCTGCGACCACGGAACAACGTGGCCATAAGTGCGCCCTTTATGTGGTCAGTTGAACTTGTTGGGCCATTGGGGGGCTGTCATGAACCTCCTCCGAGGCGAGGGCCGTCTTGATCAGCTGCTGGAGGCAGAGATCACAACTATGTCTATGCAGGAGGCGGATTTGCTGGTGTGCAGGGTCCCATGCTGTGGCGGGTGCACCATTCTCTGAATGGAATACAGGCTCGTAGCTTGTCTGTGCGCGACATGATGGACTTGGGGCAGCGACCCGAGACCCTCGCTGCATTGCTGAACGAGGCAGGTGCTGCTGTTCAAACTGAAAAGATATGCTAAGACTGCTAAGATGTGACAGTCGACAGACGTGGAACAGGAGCTCCCTGTACGATACGCACGGCGCATATCGATGTTGGAGGCTGGGGAAACATGCCAAAGAGAAACGACCTTGTGCTCTCTCATCTGCTTGTCAAGGCTTTGCCTGAATGGCAGGGCAAGGACAGCATCAGGCAGGCGACCGGCCATGCGTTGCCTCGTGTGCAACGGCTCTGTGAGGCATGTGCGTGAGATGTACATCAAGTCCTTCAAGGTGCGGATTCCGGATTCCGGAGGTGAGGGATGGTGGTATGATGTGATATGCCTGACTCTCAGGAGCTTCGGTTGTGCAGTGCGGAAGGCATGTCGGAGTCAGGGCTCAGGTCGCCCGGCAGCAACACTGTGCTTTCACTTTGTTGGAAGTCTGTTGAAGACCAGCTGCTTCTACCATTTCAGTGGCCTAGGGCTAATGTTCAGCCAGCATTTGGTACTGAGCCACTTAGCTGTCTCAGCCGGGCGGGACACCAGGCTGACCTTGGCAAAGATCAAGCGCCGGCATACTCGGACAAACCTGCTTGTGCAGAGCTTCAAGGATATCTCATCAGACATGCTTCGCGCCTACAGTCAGCGTACTTGTCAAGCTTCACTCTCGGTTGTGATTGCGATGGTTGCGATAAAGATTCGACTGATGCAGGAGTATTTGCAGCAGGAGCAGCTGACGGAGATGCAGATCAACGATTGGCCACTCTTTGTCGAATCCGGTCAGGACTCATGGGGTCGAGTCTTCGCGGGGCTGTTCAGGGCAACGTAAGCCTGCGTCCTTGTTAACTTAACATGCGATACCGAGCTGCGTCCAAGCAGCCCGATTCGCCAAGGCTCGACCAGTTTTTCAAGCTGCGAATATCGACAAACTTGCTCATCTCCCAGTTCCTTGAGATTGCGAATGACGCGTCACAGGGTAGCGACTCATCTGAGAAGAGTTCTGCAAACAGATGCCTCTTTTGTCGTAGGCGTAGATTTGCAGACTGCGCACATCTGTGCAACTTGCAAGGCGAGGCTGATGCGAGTTTTGACCCATACCAAAGCTTTATCAGCACCAAGTGCAGCTTGCCTGCACATGTGTGGCATTGCTGCACTGGAAACTGCCGAGACTGCCTGCCAGTTCAGGTGATCCTCTAAAGATCGCCGAGCATGCTGCTAACGTGATCCAAGACCTCTGCCACGAGTGGTACGGCAGCGCGCCGAAAATCATCGTGACAGATGCAGGGGCCGCAACTCGCCCTCTTGAGGATCTCTGTGAAAGTGCAGTGAGATGGACGTGAAATGACTGTTGAAGCCAGCTTCCATGTATGCAGGTACCCTTCACCTTCGTGCCACGCTACATGTTTTACATCCTGTCTGAGCTGCTGAAGAACGCCGTTCGGGCGACCGTGGAGCAGCATTCCTTCACTGGTGGCTCTGAAATGGTGCCGATTACTTTAGTCGTGCGAGCCCTTTCACGAGTCAGCTTCCTGAACGCAGATTGCTGGGGAACCCTGGCTAAGGTCTGCACTGGACGGGGCGTTACTAGTGTCCGCATCTCCGACACAGGAGGCCAGCAAAAACACGTCCATGCAACGACAGATCTGGTCATGGTCGATTGCGGGAGCTGCCCATAGTTACCCCGTCGGCCTTGCATGCGCTTGTTGTGTTCGGGCCAAACCAGAAATCTGGTTTACCCAGTTTGTTCCGAGGACAGAGCTGTCACAGTCTGTCACAGTGTAGTTGAGAAGGAATTTCAGTGTCAAGCGAAGTTCCAACTGGGTTTGAAGCTCGCAGTGCAAGAATGATTGTGAAGGAAGCTTAAAATGGTGAGGCCGCACAGCTTGAGGCGCAAAGCATAGTCGCGGGGCATGAAGAAAACAGTGATGATTCGCGAGGAACGCGGTCTTTCCTGTAGCAGAGCCGCCGGCCCCAGGGCATCGCCGCCACTCAAAGAAATCCCCTTCAGTGAGTCATTCCTCAGTTCAATGTCGCGGTCACCGGCTCTCTGGGGCTCTGAATGTTCAACGAAACACGTCAACGCAGGACGCAGGGGCTGAGGCATAAATCTTGATGCCCGGGCGTCCAAGCCTCAAGCGCGCCAGAAACTGCTTGACTTTTCCACTGCCACAGCAACCGAGCTTTCTCCAGTCTCACTCTGTTTGGCCGCCGTCTCGTTTCGTGCAGGGTGGTGGGATGTGCATGTTTGCGGCTAGAGGCAGAAGTTTCCGGCGTCTTTCTGCGGTCGGTGTACGAGAGTGCTGTGCCGTGTGTCGCGACGGCAGTGGCGACGGCACTCTGGCGTACATGCGTGCAGTGGTGGGGATTGAGTCGGCTGTCTCTTGTCCTGAAATAAGAGTGTTCTTGGAGTCAGTGCCTGACCACAACACATGTCAACATGTTCTCACGAGGCAATATGCACATCTTAGTTCTTGCGTCACGGGTATGTAAGAGGGGGATGCGAACCGGGTGGATGTCCAGGAGCTCTTTGTTGTGGATGCAGCTGAGATGGTGTCTCAGGGGAGGAGACATGAGGGGACCGCGGACTACTGTGCTACTAGTCGTCACTAGTCTGCCGCGCCTATTCAAAGTTAGTTCCAAGCAACACCCAGCCGGAGGCGCGTCTGGTTGCTCATTGCAACATATCAAGGTACACACATTGCACCATATTTCGTGTCATACTTAAGTCACAGCTAGCACCGGACACTGAGCGCCCGCGACAGGCGCGTTGTGGATGAACACCAGTGCCTGTTCATGTTTGTTCACTGTTTCTCTTTTGTTCTGCCGCACCGAGTGTGTCATCTGAGTAGGGCTTACGTGTGATTTACAGTGCGACGATGCCTCTGAACACCAGATGTCAACTACAGCCCGTTCAGGTGGAATACCTGTCGATAGACTTCCCCGGGTGTGGTCATACCTGTACACCACTGCCCAGCCGCAGGATGTTCCCATCACCAGGCGCGGTAGAGACACATTGCACCACTACTGTTCCTGGACTGCTTGAAAACCTGGACAGCTAATTAGTCGTCTGTGGGCTTGTCCCTGCACCCGCATCGCACATAAATTCCAGCACCAGTGTTGCATCGTTTGTTTGCAGGGAATCGGTGGATGCTCCTACGAGGCTCCGCCATGTGGAAATGTCAATGCAGCCTGGACACAGCAACATGTCAGCACGTTGACCGACTCTCGAAATCGAGGACGGCTTGTATTCGGTGTCGAGTCACCGACATGTCGAGACAGCAGCTATCGAGTGAGGTCTCTTGGACCAGGACGAGGACACATCCCAGGAGCATCGAATTCTCCTTAGGCTGGGTGTGGGCGAGCGACGGGTGTGATTGTCGGATCCTGCTGATCTGATCCAGAACACGTCAGTCGTTATGGGAGTCGACGGTAAACACTTTCGCGCAAGACTTGCGAGGTCGCCTTTAGCAGGGCTTGGCTGCGGACTGCCGTTGAGCCGGCTCTATGCGGAATACTTGGGAGGCATGTTGAAGCCATTCAAGTCAGCATTTCTGGCACTATAGTCATACTTTTCTAGGTTTCTCGTTGGCAGACTGAAATTCTGCATGGATGGTGAGTGGAAGTCGGGAGGTCGGCTGAAGCTGCAGACGTTACCCAGGCCACCGGGTGGTCAACATCCTTTAGGAGTGTGGAAAATGCTTGAGCGGTTTTGCTTAGCCACGTGCTGCAGGTATGGTACCGATGTCTTCGTTTACTTGAACAGCGTTGGCAACTGTGCCTCGGCAGCGGCTCGGAGCGTTCCCTCAACGAACTGGCCGCCCGCTACGCTGGCAGAGCACAGCATGCGGTGGCCATCCGGCTCTCGTACTGCCTAACACAGCATCATGTGAGCGTGCTTCATAGCATGGCACATACATAAAAGCATTGTCATACATGAGTAGACGAGCATGTAAAGAGTATATAGACAAACAAATGCATGAACAAACAGATAAGCAAGCATATTATGTGTATGTAAGCGTATATATGCATAACATATATATATATATATAGATTATGCACACGTGTTTGCTTTCCCCCTCTGGTTTCACACGACTTTCCGGTCGAAATCACGCACAGACCCTTCTTCATGAGGCCTTACAGACCCAGAAGTTCTGTTAATGAATAGTCGTGGGGGCTGGAAACGGCTGGAAAACTGCTGGACTTGAATAGTGCACATTTGTAAGAGCCGTTGAAGGAAAATGTGGCGAAAGGTGTCAGCATATGGATAGTACCCAATAGCATCGATAATACGCTTTCTTCTGCAACATGCATCTCTTACATGCAAGAAAGTTCCCCGCTGCATTCAAGTGCAATCCTGGCTCGGATACACCAGTTGAAGTCTGAGGAGTTTCCCCCCTTGAGATTTTGAATCCATGAGTAACTCAGGTGCTGAGATGCTCAGTGCGATCTGAGGGCGACTTCATGGATTTCAATGAAGCGCCCAAGCGAGAGCCTGCGGCGACAAAGACACTGGAGATGCTCACGGTTGCCCCGGATGAGTGTGAACAGCTGCTTTAGGGTTGGGGTTTAAGGATCTTTAGGGAGCAGCTACCAGAACCTGCGTTTGCCAGGTATCTGCTAGAAACGAGTCGGGTGGATTCCCAAAGGCCACATGACTTTGAAAGGAGTTCGCTTCCGCTGTCTTGCCTGCTAGACTCGCCAGGCCACCAGCCTGGGGAAAGATAAAGCGTCCTGGCCGTTAGAAGCATCGCCGTGGCACGTTCGTCAGATTGTTATGAGTGGCCTTCTGCCTCCTTTGAGGCTCATGGAAAGGGAAGTCAAGTCCGGGAAGTGGGACTGGGTTTGTACCTCAGCCTCCTGCTTTGAACAATTTCTTCATGTCAACGAGCCGTTAGTCTTTTGGAATAGTAGAGCAGGTGCAGCTGACAGAGCCACTTCTGTGATGCTTGTAGGTTTGCAGCTCGAGATCTACAGAATGATCGTGTAGCAGTGCAACCATGGTCCTCTTGTTGCTTTTGCCAGGTCGTGTGGGCAGACTGCGACACTTACTTCATGAACATGAGGCTCCGGAAGAGCCGATGCTCTGGTACATGCCTGTTGCCAGAGCAAACTGATGCAAACTGAGCCTGTGTTGCCCCAGCATCACCGTGGAGAGCGTCCTGTTTACCTATGCTGGCAGAGAAGAGAGCGGCCCAGAGCTTTGCTTCCCGGACCCGTACCCTTCAGCCACTGCGATGCACCACAAACCCTAAATTAAGGTGAGCTCACTCTGGATCCGGAGGCACAAAGTGAGCTGCGTTTTGTTTTTTGTCTGCTTCTTGCGGAAGGTTAAAGTTGGACACAAAACTTTCACTTGATCTCGAAATCTTGCTGGGACTGTGCGCGCGGAAGGACGCGGAAGGGCTACGCTACGGAAGGCGTTGCTCCGCGGAAGGGCGCGGAAGCACCAAATACGTAAGTCGCCGCGCCCAAAGAAAATATGTCTCGACCGAAACATACAAGAGTACTTGAACCAGCTAATGTTGTACTCTTCCGAGGTTCAGGTCTGCTTCCAGGAATCCCGAGACATGCCCAGGAAATGTTGCAAGATAAACTATGGTGCCCGCATTCGCTGAAAGGAGTTAACCTAATACGCCAAGTGGGGCTTATGCTCTTGCGGAAGGGTTCGCTCGCAAAACGGTCCGCGGAAGGGCACGCGGAAGGGACGACATGAAATGACTCAGAAACCTGCCAACACTTCAAGGCGCGGAAGGCTGCGGAAGCAGTGGCGGAAGGGGTTGTTGTGTTCTTAGGATTGAAACAGAATAGAAAACACCACTCAAGTGTTTCATCATTGAGAAGCAGGTTGAATACAAGCTGAACGTATTTTGATTAAGCGGTTCGGGGAGTGTTGTGTTTCGGTGGGTATCCAGACCCGGATCCAAGATTCAGTTAGATGATACCTTGCCTATTTAGGCGTAGTATGGCACCACCCACCCCACCTTAGGACTGCAACTCTAGGACTCCAACCCTAAGATCTCAACCCCAAGACCTATCCTAGAACCTGGTGTCTTGTTGGATCTGACTCGCGTGCATGTTGGGTTTTGGGCACGCATGCTGCCGTGCGGGACATCATTCCAGCCCAAGCGGCCTACGGCAGCGGCACCCGAGGACCCGATGCATGTGTGCATAACCGATGCTTTCGTTCACGTTTGCGCAGTACGTCTTTGGCTCAAGCTGTCGCGTACGATGAAGCGACCCGAGAAGGTGCTTAGCAATTTTTCCGACTCTGTGCTGACCGGACATGGCTTCGAAGACAAGATCTGTAGTGCCCTGAAACATGTTTTCACAGTTCATCGTTGGGAGGAGGAAGGGCACGGTCCACTTTTGTATGCCACGACCGGAGTAGAGGCAAAGCAAGGCAGTAAACAAGCTTACTACTGGCATGTGAGACATGAGTGCCGCCGGTATTGGCAGGGCTCCGCTTCTCGGGAAGCCCTTCAAAGTCTATGGGAGAATTGCAAGTTCACATCGAGGTATGCTTTCACGGATCTGAACATTTGGTGGGTTGCAAAAGAGTCTAATTGGGTGAAGCTGCGTGAAGTTGATTGCATCCTTACACCCAAAAAGAAGGTGGATCTTACAAGCCTTCCGAGTGCATTTCTCCGCACCAGCTTTGACAAGCCGATAAGTTGGGAAGAGTTGATTCAGTTGGTACCCGAAAATGGAGCATTCTGCGAAATTACAGTGCCAAGTTGGAATGAGGCCCAACCATGGAGAACCAAAGTCGACAAAACCGAGAAAATCAGGTGGCTACACGCTATTGCCCACGAACGTGGTATGGCAGTGCTGCTGTTCTTCAACGGATCATGCCCAAGATTTCCGCCTGTGGCAAAATCTGACAGTGACAAATGCACATCCATATATTTTCCTCAACAGGCTATTGACAAATGGGAAGTGGCTATGGAGCAGATGGCCNNGCAAAGAAAGAAGCCGGACGCTGGAAGAGGAAGTTCAAGCGTTTGGCAGCCATGAAGTCCAAGAAATCCAAGTCACAGGGGCGGTTACGCATTTTGCGAACTCGTAGTCGTCGTAGTTGACATGTTTCACCCGCGAGTCTGCGCCACAGAGCATCTGCGCAATCGGACCAGACGGCTGCTTTCAAGTGGAAGCCGCGGATGCGATGGTTTTGATGCAGTATGTCATTTACAAGTCTGAGTTGTGCAGCGGAACTAATACAAACTAATCCACTTGTTGTTCTGGTTGTTAGTCGTGGTGCACAGGAGGCCCATCCCTCACCGTCCGCACAAGTGTAGACCAAAGATTCGGACCTCGCGGAAAAAACCTCTGAAGCGTTTGTCCGTCTGCTG